TTTATGTAGTGTGTCCCCCCCCTCCCCTTCAGATTATAAGTAATTTATTTTGTTTCCTAATGAGCTAGCAATTTAAATAAACGATTTTATTTTATCTCAAGATAAATTTACAGGGCAAACTACAAATTCTGGTTCCATGGTGGTCAGACCGAAGGTTTCCACTTTTTGCAAAGGTTTGAATGAAGCGCTTCACCCATCTTTTGTTTTGTTTAATCCCCGTCGGCTACAATGAGGCGGGCACGTTGCAATCGGGGCAGCATTCAGCACCAACCAAGGCGTTTTCCAGTGTTGTGTCTCTAACTGCTGGTAATGTAATATTCGAAAATGGAAATTCATGATTGTGAGAATTAAATTTGAATTTGCGTGAGAATACGAGGAGCTGGTTTTAGGTGATCAATAGCATGTTTGCAGTGCGATGTTGTTTGCTCGGACCCGTTAATATATGTTTTGAAGAATGCATGAGAACAATTTGTACCAGGGTTTTCTCCTGGGCGATTTTAGTATCTGATGAGTTTTGTGTTACGAGGAATTGTTACCATAAGGGTTATGCTGAGCACAACCAGCTCCCTCCCTCAAGCAGCCCTCAACAATGAAACAAAGACAATCGATCCCCTTCAATTCCATTTATTCAGATCATATTATTCTTGTAGTTTGGACTTCAACGTAATACAGCATATTGCACTTACCGGAGAGCAGCACAAGAGAGAAAAAAACGTACAATACTTCAGTGTATTCCCAAGGAAGAATAAGATGTTGTGATAGTTGTTGTTCTTCTTAAATATATCAATCCAGCTGAAAATCTAAGTATATGTACACAAGATTTACTAAGTCCCTGAATATGCCATTCAAAACTTTACACAGACTTTTTTGCTTTTCTTATATTTTTTACAGAGATATACAGTATGTCACACACAGTTTCAACTTGAGAAAACTTTGCAAAATTATACCCCAGCTACAAGGCTGTTGGTTTTTTTTGTTGGTGGTGGTTTTTTTGGAAGGACCCCCCCCCCCCAGATTTATACCAATGATTATTCAGATGATTTTCTTCAGGATTGTCCCGCCATTCCCCCATTTCCCACCCCCTCCACCTTGCTGGAATGATGAAGGAAATGCCAATTAAAAATAAGTCTAGAAGAAGAAAGCCATTACATCATGACAAAGGTTAAACTGTATATATTGCACATTGGTACAGAAACATAATGCAATAACACTTTCATACCCCCCCTTCCCTCTCTGCCACACGTCCCTCCTTGCTCCTGGGGCTGAGCTGTATGGGGGGAGCCTAACTGTACTCATAGTCTGAGGAGTCCTCCTCGGACACCCCTGTCAGGTCTCTGCGGTAGGAGTCCATGCCATTCTCCTCTGTCTCGCCTGCTGGCCGGAGGCTTTTGCCCATGCCTTTACGCTCCTCCATTTTGATGGTGTCATAAAGTCCCTTAGGTCCTTCTTCAAGGAGGATGTTCCTCTCGGAGTGTGAGGGTTTCATTTGACAGACGTTTTTCAGGAAGAGGAGGACAGGGGCGTAAAGCACGTTGGCGAGCCCCATGCCCAGGTTGAGCTGTGTGAAGCCCATGGTGTGCACAATCTGGCCGGCCACAATGGGCCCCAGGGCATACGCCACAGAGTAGGAGATGTCTGCGATGGCGTAGACGCTGCCGTAGACAGAGACGTGGCGCCAGGGTGGGCAGCAGGGCCGTGTCCACCAGGGCGATGCCAAAGCAGATGCCGCAGAGGGGAATGGTGACCTGCCCGAAATTCCTGCAGGCCGGCACCAGGCAGGAGCTGGCACCAATGATGGCCATGCCCAGGGCCCCGTAGAACCACTGGAGGTGGGGGTATGCGGC